AACAGCTCCGCCGCTGCTGTTGCTTTAATTGCAATTTCTCGATTGTTGAACACTGAAATCACAGCGCACTTTTAATAACTCACTTGTCCACATTAATCACCGTCACAAGCTTGCATCGATTGCACTGAATACATTTGTTTGCGTGACCACGATGACTTCTGGTAAGTTGTAGAGGTACTTTTTTTACCATTGCTGAGCAAAGGAGCAAACATGATTTTTCAAACGGCGCCCAACTGCCTACATTCCTTGTACAACTCACCAGGTCTAATCCCATTAATCAACGATGTGAAAAAGACACACAAAAAACCACGCGATTTTCCAAAACGCCACAAACAATAGACCAGAGATTTTTTTCAGCCCCGAATAACAAAAGAGAACTTCTCCGAAAAGTCTGTCTGTTGTCACTGAATCCCAAAGTCGCATTCCTATCGAGCCGGCAGGCCAAAGCGGAGCCCTGTTGCATGGCCTCTCCACTTGATAACTCAGACTTTAGACATTTAATAATCGCTCGTCTACAGCTTTACAAAACTACTCGGCCTTCAACTCGAAACGTGAGCTGCGACTTTCTGTGCCCCTCTGTTTCCACACTCGCCCCCTTCTCCTCTTGGCCCCCCGAATTGGCCCGGAGCCCCCAGCTTGTTCCCAGTATTTCCAAACAAACGGTCGACATGCTTGCACCATTGGCGTACATCAATAACATGTTCAAGTTTTTGGGAACTTTGTCACTCTAACAAACTCCAGTTGGTTGCGATTGTTTTTTGGAGAATCGCCGTTTTTTGGGGCAACCAAAAGAGGCAGAAACTCCCTAGTTATCAGAACAGTTACCCAGAACTACCTACATGTTTTCTCGGTTTAATTCTACCCTGGTTTCGAAAGTTTGTCATCGTTTTCGCTCAGAAATGCAAAGAGGGGAAACATTTTCTCTTATATGTATATATTTGCTTGGGTTCCCCCCAAAGTTTGAAATGTATATAATTATGATGTTCAGACAAACAGTATACTTTAACCCAACGTCTTATTTATTCCGACTGAGACACTTTTGTTACTGCCATGAGGCGAAAACTGAGTGAAAATACATTGTAAGACCAAAATTGAAGGGAAATTATTGGAAAAATCGTGTTGTTTTTGTGTTCAA